TTTGTGGGGAAAAATATATATATATTTCCTACACTGATGTGAAGTATATATTCCTATAGGGTTAGCTCCAGTGAAGGCTCCTTTTTGCTGCTGCTCTCTATTGATTTTGTCATTATTGGTGATGGAGATTTATTTTTATTTTTCACTTTAGGAATTTCTGCAATGGGACAAATGAATGAGTTTCCTGTAAAATCACAATTAAGGAATCATATGCAATGCATTAAGTTACAAAAGCTTACTTTAGGACATGGAAAGTAAAATACAAAATTATGCCTGTCTGGTATTGGTTGGGTAGGTTATCCTCTTCTAATTTTGAATTAGGTACCCTTCTAGTTTTTTTGGTTTAGGTATCAAGTCAAAATAAATGCAGGTATGTCTGCTGTACATAAAATCAAAATCTTTCTTATTGCTTTTACAATGTTCTCAATTTTTAATAATTTACCTAGGAGTGGTTGAATTCAATTTGAGTTTAGGAAATAGTTTCCACTTTGCCTTCAGCTGATGAATAATTGCAATGGGTGATCCAATTTAGACAGGCCTGTTTCTGTTATTCCCTTTACTTTTTGATGTAAGATTCCAAGTCTCATCGATCTTGTACTGGGTTTTATGGGTGCATGGGCAAAATTTATTGTTCCTTGATTTTTTTTCTCATAATTTTTAAAGTGGACTCTTGGACTCCTTGGCAAAAATGAGTGAGATTTGACCAAATGAAATACTTGAGAATGTTGACAAATCTTGCATTGAAGTGGACAAATGTGCCACATTCCAGAAACCCTATAAAAGCCTTTGTGTGACTCAAATGGTTCCTGGAAGACAAGACCTTCATCGGGTGTGAAGTTCAGGTCGATGATGAGTGGATCCTAGTGAAAAGTGCTGCCCTTAAGAGTCATCCAGGCTCTCAGAGCTTGCGAAATGCTACAAAATGATTTCTGTGTCTATTGGATCTCCTTTTGTTGGGTTCAGAAAGTTTATGTACCACGTAGTGGAAATGAGTTCGTCGGTATTCTATGTGATTCAAGTCCAGTTGAAAAGCATGTCCCATAGATTGTGCTTTTGCTTGCAAAATATATTTGAATTGCAAATCATTGTTAACATTTTCAATAGAATTACAGTTGATAATTTTCTATTCTTCATTAATTTACTTTAATAGAGTTTTGCTCAATAATGACTCTTTTTTTTTATCATCATTCTCTTGTAATGATGTCCTCCAGAGAAAGTTCTGAATCTTGCACTAATTACCTTTACTGGGAAGTGAGAGTCTCAGAGTCGTTCTTCGCCTTCGCGGCCCAATCGTCAAAGGGTGATAGGAAAGGTCACCTTGGCTAGTACGGGCCCATAAGTTTTCGAGGAATGAAAGGGAAGGAGAGTGCATCTGCGAACAGATTGTGAAAGCACTCAATGTGAAATAAGGTCATGATTATCGTCATCGCCGCCATCGTCTGCGTGATGGAGAGATCAGAACCAGGTGTCATGTACATCGGGGTGATGATGGCGGAGATGTAGAAGGATTGTGAGAAGAGAGATTGCCAATCGCTCCATTGGGCTTGCGCTTGCATCATGCTTCCCCCTTTCCCCTTCCCTCGCTTTCCAGTCGAAGCTTCTTTCTCTTTCTCCTTTCCTTCTCTTAACTCCTCGTTGCTGGAGAGGAAGCTGAAAACCCTGCATTCTTGGAGCTCTTCCCATCTCGGGTCGAGGCCCCTCATTTCAGAACCTTTTTTCTCGCTCTCTCTCTTCCTGGTCTCTGGCTTTTTATGCTCGAAGGGAGGATCACGTGTGGCCCTGGCCCTTCGACTTCCGAGCTACTCATTCCCTCTCTGACCTTGGCTTCTTTGATTTGCCGCTAACGGAATCCCACATAGCCAGCTAGGAGATAAGGGGGAGACGTCGTGCTGTCGATTCCAAACATGTGTCGAGGGGGAACTGGGCCCCATTTTCCGCCGCTCGCACAACGACAGTGTCAACAAATTTTGTCAACGAATTGCGTCACTGGCACGAGATACGGCGTCATTGGCTCCCACCGAGTGCGGAGAAACATGTTGCGCTCTTCCGACGTTATTCGTGGAAAAATTATCCCGAGAGGGAAGGCGGAAAAAGGGTTGCGCGAGTGGGAGTCCTTGAGGGCATGAAGGATTTCGACAATAGTTCTTTGTTTCTGCTTGATGGAGTGTTCCACAATCCTAGCACTTATCTGAGCAAATCCAATACAGTTTCATTTTTTATTTATGCCAGTTTAATACCACCGCCTGGCTGTTCCGAGGGAGAAAACAGGAAGTTAAATATTTTCAGTACATTTTATTTGTTTGGTTTTCGCGTCCTTACGATGGCGAAATTTAAGCAAAAGTGAAATGTATGCAGCTTTGTTCTGCCTTGGGCAACAAGGATCGACCACATCTGTATTGCAAGCCTCCCATGTGTTCGGCATAAACGACTTGGTATGGAAGTACTGGTATGGCGAGGGTACGTTGCGTGCCTGGCAGGCCTTTTGAGAAACGCGGAGATTTAATGGTGATGGAAGAGAGAAGAAAAGGGATCGGTTAGCCCCTGACACTTCGCCTGTTTGTGAAGTCACTCTTCCCTCGGTTGTGTAAGCCTCGGTCGTGAAATCTCGGGGCCTTTTTGGTAGCGATGGGATGGGATTTAGATCCCTGAGTACTAGTGCCCGAAGGACTAGATTCCCTTGACACCTATGGGACGTGACCTGGAAAAAGGATCCTCCTCGCTGTGTGTCTAACTCGAGTCTTTTCGCCTTCGGTTCTCCCCCTCGATCCGGGTCACACAGATTTTTTTTTCGCTCGAAGTCCGTAGTTAGGGCGCTGCAAACCCGGAACGTGTGAAAACGACTGCCTCGGGGCTGCGTGGACCAGCCATGGTCCACGTCTCAAGTGGACCACTCTCCTTGCGATTGCTTGAAAGGGAATTTCTCACCTCTGTGACGGATGATGGTCTCCGTATGGCGGAGTGAGAGAGAATCCGGCGGTACAAGGATATCGATTATTCCATTAAGCCTCTCCCCCTTCCTTCGACTGAACCTAGGGGAGACCGGCGATCACTCGTGGGCCCTTGGTAACAGGAGACAAAGAAATTAGGGTCGGCTAGACCTCGAACGCACGAACCAGCTGATACGCCTCAGGGGAGAGGTGGTTTTTAAAGAGAAAAAAAAATAACAGACCGCGTCCCTGGAGGGTCTTTTTCAAACCTCTAGGCATAGACATGGTAATGCCACGAGATGCTCGACGCGAGGCAAGGTCGAGGTGTTCTTGAATGGGAGGATGAAAGAAAAGCCTTGGGATTGGACTGCCTGACATTTCGGTGTTGCATCACTCGGAACGTCCATAACTGGGCGTGGCCTTAATGCAATCATCAGAGGGAGAGAGAGAGAGAGAAAGCTGGAATCAAGCCTTTAGCAAGATGAAATTGCCCCGGGGCACAGCTGCAGTGCCAGAACGGGAGGGGGGACCATAAAGATCCATGTTCCAGTTGAAAAAGTCACTTTCTCCCTGTCCCGAGTACTGGCTGATGCACATCGTTTCGCCGAGGATTGGTTTGTGATAAAAAAAAAATTATATATAAATTTTAAACTCCGAGATGGAAAGAGTGCGTCATGCCAAGAACGGAGGTGCGTCATTATTTTCTTGTTCTCGTCTCCCAAGGTCACCACTTCTTGCGCCGTCCTTTTTCCTCACATGATGCCCTCGAGGCAACTGGAAGAATATGATTAATTCTATGCAGTGGTTGCCAATAATTATGGCAAGACGCGGGGAGCGAAATATGATTGTTTGCTTGCCTGCCACTTAGCATCGGAATGTGTGGTCTCGCTTCGGAGATGCCCTGAATTTTATTCCCTTTCATAGATTTATCGCTCTTATTTATTAAAGCCGATCTTCGTCCCCTTGTAACGTTACACTCTCCTTTCTAAGTGCAAGCGGAGAGGAAGCCGGAGATGCAAATGAGCGAGGGGGGGGGGCTATAAATTACCGAGGAAAGGGTTTTTAAAAGCGCCAGCTGCAGTTGCCATTCTGCTCGAGGGGAAAGAGATCTCATAACGGGCTGGTCTCACGGGGGTCAACACCCTGACCGAAAAAAAATCACACAGATGTGTATAGAAGGGTTGAAGATTCCCTTGAAAGAATCACGTGACCCCTGCTTCATATGTATTTCCTTGACATGAGTCGTACAGAATAGAGAGCAAGCATGAGGTGACCATACTGAATGGACTCAACGAGTTCTGCGTCAAGTTCTATGGACCAGCCAACAGTAAGTTTCCTTTGTAGTGGGTGCTTTCCCTCTGCTCTTATTTGTCTTTGTGCCCTCATCCATTCATCACCCTTCCCTATCTGACCGGTGGCCTCTGCTGGAGAGGTGTTGTACGAATGATGAATGCCCCGAAGGGAGCGTGAATGCGAACGAGCGACTGTGCGCCCCTATCTTCGTGTGTGTCCATGAACAGGAGCGAGACGGGATGAATGTTGCATGGCCTGGGTCTGGGTGTGGTGCCATGCGATGGAGGAAACTATCCCCTTCGCGCATCCTCTCCCCCTCCATTCGGGCCTAATCGAAGGGAACTCCCGTTTCGGTGGACTCACACGAGTTGCAGGAAGCAAGGACGACCGCGGAATCGTTTGGGGTCTATAATGCAAAATATATTCTAACGCCCATAAAATTCCTGCATCACTTCGAAAGTGAATGTTTCGCACGAGATGGAAGCGCGATCGAGTTCGTGTCCACGGAGTTTAGATTTTATTTCAGGAGTATAGCAATATTTAATCGTATTTTCATTTCGCGGGGAGGAGCTTGAATTTCCTTGGAGAAGGCCAGAGAGGACCCACATCTGAAGCTATATTGTTCCCCGCTTGCTCAGCACATTCGTGTTAACTCACTCGTATGACCTAGATTTGTGTGTTGATTCATTTTCCAATAATGAAAGAACATTTTATTTTCCGTGTGGGCGTATGACAAGACTTTGTGCTTTAACTCCATGATTCACTTGAATTATAGCATAAATGAAAAGTGTGTCATCGTCAGGGAATATTGACATCAATTGCAATGCTGAAACCACATCCTCGTGTATAACTTCATTTATTGGGCCTATTGAGGCAACACATTCACATCAATGAGGAAAATTCATCACTGAGACTCAGGTCTGGAATGTATTTGTGGGCTGTCTTGTAATTTTAATTGAAGTGCAGGCCTCTTTTTTTGGGCAGTATTGTATGATGTAATGCTTCGAGTATGGGCGACTGCTGGAATTTTGGGAACATATTGTAGTTTGTAATGTTAACCTGAGTTTATATCCAGAGAATTACTTTTAACCTTTAAGAATGACTTCTTTTTCTATTCCCTTATTAAATTTTGAAATTTAATGTCCCGGGGATTTAGCAGAATTATCAATGGGTTTGAACAGTCTCCCCTTGGACTTTTTAATGATGTGTTATTGATATTGCCCGTTGCTTTTGTTCTCATTTTCGATGTGAATGGATGAGGACAAGTTAGCAGTTTATTTTGCCATTAAGGAGACCTACACAAAAAGACTGATGGTAATGCTTGCTTTCTCTTCCATAGCTCCATATGAGGGTGGAGTGTGGAAGGTGCGGGTCCACCTCCCTGACCACTATCCGTTCAAGTCCCCCAGTATTGGGTTCATGAACAAGGTTTATCATCCCAATATAGATGAGGTCTCAGGGACGGTCTGCCTCGATGTGATCAACCAAGCTTGGACAGCACTCTACGGTACACTTTTCACTTCCTACTTTACCTTCTGGGTCTGCTCAATATTGATTGTGTGAAATGAGGTTGTTTCATGCATTTCATCAGATCTGTCCAACATCTTTGAGTCTTTCCTCCCACAACTGCTGACCTACCCAAACCCAATAGACCCGTTGAACGGGGATGCTGCAGCCATGTACCTACATAAACCTGAGGAGTACAAGAAAAAAGTCCAAGGTATGGAACTGTGTCTTCATGACTGACACCTTCAAGAATGGTGCATTTTAGGACAGAGTCACTTCCCATGTCATTAAATTTTTTTCTCAGACTATGTGAGAAAATATGCCACAGAGGAGGCTCTGAGAGAGCAGGAGCAACATGAGATGTCCTCCTCCAGTGAATCCTCCATGTCTGATTTCTCTGAAGACGAGACCCAAGACATGGAATTATAACATCGGCCTTCACCAGGGGTTTCTTCTCTCTATCTTCTTTACATCGCCTCCTTCTTCAAAGTCATCGTTCCGCTCGATCACTCACGTGGCTTGCGTGCTGCCTAGTCAAAGCCACAGCTGTCAAGCAGACGCAGAGTCCAAGTCATCGGTCACTCATCACACATTCTCCTACTCTTCTTCCTTTTCTTTCTGCTGACCCCTGGTTCTATCAATGTGTGTCAATTTTTTTTGTCTGTCATGCTTCAGTCTGTTCTGTGAACGGCTATTTGTGGGACGTTCTGCATGTGAACGGGGGGACAGAACCAAGGCCCAGTGGGGTGATTTGGGTCTGGTTTTGGGGTATTGATGGATTTTGTGTGGGTCTTGCAAGCTTTAACCTGGGGGTGGAGTGAGGGAATCATGACGTTTCACAACCCTTTGTTTCTCAAGAAATGATCAGAACTTGAGAAGCTAGCATGACGAGATTCTTGGAGTTCATGTCAGCAGCTCTCTGGCATTGCAAGGAGTCATCTGGGGTAGAAAATACCAATCAGAAATCTTGGATGGATGACCTCAGTGCAACCCCTTCCTAGATATCCACTTAAAAAATTATATAAGTGGTGGTGTTGGGATGGTGGTCATCAAAGATGCCATGGAGACTGATCATGGCTTGATCAAAGTGGACTGGATGTGATCCCTGGAAAGAGAGCAAGTCCTATGGCTCTAAAATGTGATGGGAAAAGAGATTGAACTTGAAAGTGTCTGTATCAGGGTGTCGTGGACTGATTTGCATCTGGTTCTGGTTGTATCCTTACTGTTTTTTCAATCCCTACCTTTGATATTCATTGGGATGGGAAAGAGGTAAGAGGAGGGAGACAGAGAAAATTCTGTTACCACCCAGTTAGTGCCATGAGATCAAAATATGCCCTTGTGTATCTTGTGACACCTACATTATCTGTCTCTCATGGGCAGTGCAAACCTCTCTTCCTCTTCTCATTCTATTTGCAAATACCTCAATTCTACTCTTGGGGTTGCTGTCAGTTTTTGACTCTGTCTCTCTCACATCCTTGGTACAGTAAGTCTTGTATTGTTCTTGCTTTCTTCCCTTATGGGGGATTGCATGCATGGAGATGGCAGGAGGAACTCATTCATCCTAGCTCGTATCCATTCCCTCTGGAATCTCCAGGCATCCCAGTCCTCCAGAATGACAGCCCGGTGAAAACTGTCCAAGGAGAAAACTCTGTCCTGTCCCCATGAAATCCCCCCTTTCCATTTGATTCTGGGGCTCCTTTGACACTCTTGGTTCTCCTGCATCTTGGCCAGACCTCAATATTTTTATTTTCTAAAAAAATGAGGAAGTAGGGAAGACAAAGAAACCCTGGCCTATGATTATGATCTCACAAAGGAGAGAAAAAACTCATCATCTCAAGTTACTTCCCCTGAGATGGAACGTCTTGCTCATTTGTTTCTGTCAGATGGAGGCATTAAGACAACAGAACCTCAGACCCCAAGATTCTGTAAGTTTCTTCATTGTGATAACTGGAAGAAAGAGAGAGAGAAAGATTTATTCAGAATTTTATTCGCCTTGTTTGTGCGGAAACCTCTTCACCTGCAACCTGCTGTTAGGTTTTTTCTCATCCACTTCTTTCTTTCTCATGATGTTTCCCTTTCTCTGGGAATGTCTGAATTGTGTAGTTTCCTTTGTACACAGTGCAACTTTTTTTTTCTGTTTGTGGTCTTTCACCACCTTTGTCAAAGGATGTTTGTTAGGTTTGTATATTGTAGAGATGAGGTATTTCTTATGAAAAGTGGAATAAACCATACATATACTAGAATCTCAGGGTGATTTGTTGAGATGACACTGATATGGCAATGGCTGTCCATTATCAGCTGATATCTCTTACTGGCTTTGGGTCAAATTGGTATCTGTTGATTTGAGAGTAAAAACAGAAAATCACAGAAGCATGTGAGCACTGGATTTCTTCTGCTCAACGAGAAGTTTGGTCGTCTTCCTGATCGTGTATTCCTTTTTTTTGTCATGAATCCTCATCTTCATTTTGACATTTCAAACTCGTCCTAGCAGTGGCGTAGGGAAGGGGGGGGGGGGGGGGGTTTAGGGGGTCAGAACCCCCCCTTGGGCTTCCTGGTCAGTGACAGTCAGGCATATGTCAGCCTTCCTTGGGAATTCCAGTTTTAGCTATTTCCCTTCGAGGAAAGTCCAATATCCATCCACAGACCCAAGATGCCAGACCACGATTTCTTCAAAAAGGTAAATTCCGGGTGATGGAGCTAAGCGTAGGGTTGGGGTGTCTACCTGGCCTCAACCCCCCCCCACCCCCCCCCCTCTGCCGATTTTCTGCCTACGCCACTGTGTTCTAGTAATGGTTGGACTGCAGAGACTTAACACAAACCCCAGAAAGGAGCTTTTGGCCATGACTCAAGGAACCTCACCAAGGAGGCTTCCAGCTGGAATTTGTGCATATTTGGGAGGATTTCAACTCGATTGCCATCTGGGAGATTCCCCTTACATTCGTTGCTTCTCAGTTATTGAGAAAACCGAAAGATGAGAAATTAAGACTGCAGAATTGATCAGCTCAATGTTCACATTAGTACCATGAGGGCGGTGGAACTACCTATTTTCGAAATAGTTAATTTGACATTGTACATTCCTGATGTTTGGTTGTATGAGAGTTGAGATTTTTTTTTTTTACAATGATAGCTTCATGAGAAGTGAATGTGAATTTCATATACGTAGGAGAGGAGGCCTCTAAGACCTTTCTTCACTTGTTCCACGTGGTTTTAAAAACGGAGGGAAGGCTAGGCATTTTTATTTTGCTAATTAATGTTTTACTTTACTGTAAATTTTTTTTATATATCTGCCTTGAAGTGCATGTTCATCCAATATTTTAATTATTGGTGCACCAATTTCATCGATATCGTCTCCGTCTGAACCACTATCATACAGTTATTTATGCAAGCCACAAACATTTCTTTCAGAAATAGAATTTGAACTACCCAGGGACTTCGCAGTGAATCACTTCCATCACGGTGCAGTTTGAGGGCAAGAAAGGGCACCCTTTAATGCGTGTGAAAGTCCTTCGTGAGTCCTCTCCTGGTGATGAAATGCACTAGATAATTAAGCATAAGATGCGTTGGCGGCCATTCTTCCGTCGAACGAACTGGGCCGCCCCATTTCATATTGTAGGTCTTTCCACCCATCGTAAAATAGGCGAAACGGACAACAAAAAACTCTGAATAATAGGGTGGAAATGTTGGACCAGTTGCTTCCTACGCTCCGAGTGGGTGGCGTCTGGTCTTAAAGGGTCCAATTGCGATGAGTCAAGTGATTTGGTTTTCTCTTGCCTCCGAGGCGACTTGCAGCGACGTGGAACCCGTGATGGGACGACAAAAATTGCTCATGCATCGCTTGAACCCGGACTGGTTTATCCCATTCTTGAACTGGCGAAATTGCCGCCGAGACGAGCCCTTGTTCCCATCTTGAAGGCGTCTAGACAACTTAGTTCCACAATTACACATTTCAACTGAAAAGACGCTGAAACAGAGCCGGCATTGAAATCAGCAGCGCCTACCCCGCTCCACATCCCCCAACCACGTGGCCGAGCCCCACCGAACCAGTTTGATCGATGTGCATCCATCCTCACAAAGACCACCAACGCCCCATTCCCGCCCGCCCCACCCCACCATGAGCACCTCCAGCCTCGGAACTGTCGAGAAGCAATGGGTTCTCGGCATGAACCCCCTCCGTTCGAGCTTCCTCGGCTTCGTGGAAGAAGAGCGGATCCTCTACCCCGCCGCCAGCGTAATCGTCATCTTCCACATCGGGGACCGGGCCCAGGAATTCATTCAACTCTCGGACCTAGCCTCCCCGACTGCCCTCGCTCTCTTTCCCAACAGGTAGCCCTCCTCGCCTTTAGCCCCATGTTTCTAGGTTAACTGGACGTCTCAGTAGAGATACGAGCAAGGTCGATACGAGTCGACTGGAAGTGATTTCTCCCTCCTTTTTTTTTTATACGGCGCAGCATATTTGGTGTTATTCTATACGATTTCGTTGTTCAAACAAAGCGATAGATTGGACATATTTCTGTTCCCTGCTTGATTCCTCCTCGTAGACTTGGAGTAGTGTAATTCATCTATCAGATGAGCACCAACTGAAAAGGTTGGCGATAAAAGGGGAACAACTGGTTTTCCTTTCGTCCTCGTCTGTGGCTCGGTTACTCGAAGCACACGAAGCCTACGTACTTTATGCATTAAGAAATTCTTGACTACGAGGGAACGTTACACGAATGACGTGTCGCAACGAAAGGCACCCAATTCGGGAGGGTTCTTGATTTTGACACCGTCTTGAAAGTGGACCTGTGAATGTTGCGAGATCCTCGCGCCTTCCACGATTTCCTCCTACATACTCGAAGTCGCGTTGGATTGTTGCCCGCCATCGCCAGCTGCTCGCGCGCGATACGCAGTGTTGCAAGCGAGCGCAGTGATGCGACTTTCCTTTCAATTCGAAGCCAAGAAACGGATAGGGTAGGACGGGAAAAAAAAAATCATTTTTACCTATGGCATATCCCGCTTCCACCGTGAACTTATGTTTATGAAAGAAGTTGCGCTGAGACTGTTCACCCTCGTGGAGTATTTATAAGGAGCCCAACTGTTATTACACTTACGGTGATTCATTGTTTTCTTTATGCAAATAAGTGGATGTCAGAGTGCGCAATCATATCGTAATAACGATAAGGTTGCGTCAAACTTCTCCTTCGAATTGTAAATAGTGATTAATCTGAAACGCAACCGACGATACACGAAGTCATTCGACGCCAACGACGTACCGCATGACCTCCCATCGCAGGCAGTACGTAGCGGTGGCGGAGACGGAAGAAACGGAGGGGAGGCAGCGTCCGAGTCGAGGAATCAACGTCTACGACCTGGGCGCCCTCGGCCGGAAGAGGCGGCTGGGGCCGGGCCAGGAGGATCCAAAGGGAGCTCCGTTCGTCTCGATCGCCGTCTCTCATTCGGGGAAGTTCCTGGCGGCGCAGTCGGGGTACCCGCAGGGGAAGACCTTCTACTGGGCGTGGGAGAAGGGAAAGCTCATGGCCTGGACCGAGCCGTTCAAGGTGCAGAGCGTCGAGCAGCGGGTCATGGATTCCATTCAGGTTGGAGGCGTTTCACGGTTCCCTTGCCGTTATCGAAGAGATGCGTGATGGTAACAGGCGGTAACGATTTGGCAGATCGTGACGGCGGCGTTATCGTTATCTCCTCTAGGTCGTGTTTAATCCGATGGACGACAACGTGATTTCCCTCGTGGGGCCGGGGGTGTTCAGGTGCTTCCGCCTCACCGAGGGTGTCCTCAAGAGCTTCGGCCACACCAAAAATGACAGGCCGGATTATTACTGTCACCTGTGGCTCACGAGCGAGCGACTCGTCTGCGGGACGACCTCTGGCGCCATCTCCATCTTCAGTCACGGGGACTTCAAGGCCAGGATCAAGGTCAGGTCGCCCGACGACCCGACCCCCTTCCCCGAGTGAGGGACCCCTTCTATCGCATCAAAGCTTAAGATTAAGATTAGGATTAAAATTAAGGTGTAACTTTGAAGTTCGGAGGAAGGGTTGGAGGAGGTCGAGGGTGCCTTGGAGGTTCTCGCCCCGTCCGCGTCCACCATCACGTCTCTCGTGGCCGTGACGAACGGGTTCGCCTGCTCCACCTCCAAAGGGTGGGCGCATCTCTTTCAGCGTCTTCCCGAGGGAGACCGCGCCTTCTACAAACAGGTCGCGTTCTGCTGTGCATCTGGTTTTAGTTCATGCAATTACCGTAATTATTTGCCTTTGGATCAGTGATCTGTAGGTACAAGATACTTCTTAATTGGTGATTTAATTACAAGTATTACTAGCTAAGTAATTAAGTACTAAACGGTTTTGCTCCTTTAGTGCAGGGGTGTCAAACTCAAACCGGTCGCCGGGCCGCATTCCTTACCCTGCAGATGCCTGCGGGCCGCACCCATAATATTTCACTGAAATTTGTGCTGACACTCAATCCAAGGGGGAAATTTCAAGAACAGACGGCGGGCCGGATGAACCACCTCCGCGGGCCGTATGTTTGACACCCCTGCTTTAGTACATTCGGAGGAGTTCGATCCAATATTAGTTATCAGCCGAGTGAATATTGAAGTATCAATATCAGCAATTTTTCAAGCACGAAACTTTAACCTAGCAGCAATTGACGGCGCTGCTCGGACGGACGAACTTCGTCGAGTTTGCATAACGTCGAAGATGTCCGACGGGAAAAATTCCAGGTGCATGACATCCGGCTGCCGGGGCGTCGCGGCGTCGAAGGGGGAAGATCGGAGGACGATCTCCCGGGGATCCAGAGCATGAGCCTCAGTCCGTCGGGGGACGTACTGGTGGCGGCGTCGGTGCACCGGGGGCTCTACAGCGTGTCGCTGCCGCAGGTCAGGGTGTCTCGAGGGGTGACGTGGACGTTCAGGACGCTGCTGGAGCCGTACCACTGGGGAGGGGTCGTGGACATCGACATCAGTCTGCAGAGGCCGCTCGTCGTCACCTGCGGGGACGATCGGCTCGTCTGCGTCTGGAACTCCCGCGACATGAACCTGGAACTGTCGCAGGAGTTCTCGGAGGAGATCTCGTGCACTGCCATACATCCTCTAGGTGTCGGTTTCGTTGTCGCGAGCGTTCGTGCGAGGGGCCCGAGGACTGACCCCGGTTCGTTCTCGCAGGGTTGTACCTGGCGGCAGGGTTGCCGGAAAAGCTGAAACTCTTCGGGGTCCATGTTGGCGAGTTGGAGGGACTGCACGAGTTCCCCGTGAGGAGATGTC